AAATAAATAAAATAAAATAAAAAAAAATAATCCAAGTATCCAAAAGTATTTTCGTATTTTGTACCATAGTCTTAAATTTCTTTTTTATATCATAACTTATTTGTGTGCTCAAAATTATGAACTACCTTCTGTAAAAAGATATCATACATTTATTTTTCATGGTAAGTACTATTAACAGTTGTGTTAAGTATTAATTTCTACATATATAATATACAAATTTATCAATCAGCAAACTTGCTGGTTAAACTTCCTTGCTTCTGAAGTCATTAAGGAAGAATTGAGGGCTGGCGAGATACCTCAGTGATCTAACCACCTGCCTGGCAAGCACAAGGACCTGGGCTTGATCTCACACACTATGCCAGCCCTGGAACCCAAGGTGTGCCATGCCGGTCACTGAGACCAGGTGTGGTGGTGCACGCCTGTAATCCCAGCGCTTGGGAGACTGAGACAGGAGGATCACTATGAGTTTGAGCTGCACAGCAAGACCCTGTACCAAATAAATAATTTTTTTAAACTTTTTTTTTATATTTTAGGGAAGGGTCTATAGAGTGTTCAGGGTCTCACTACTAGATTGGATTTGTAGTGATCCTCCTGTTTACAGCCTCCCAAGAGCTGGGATTACAGGTGTGCGCTACCATGCCCAGTCTCATTTGCCATCTCAGTGTGCCCCGGGGGTGGAGCCGGCATGGCAGACCTGGGGATCGAATCCTGGACCCCTGCACCTGCTTGCCGGCACTTTAATCCACTGAGCTATTTAGCTGGCCCCCAAATAAATATTTTTTTAAAAAAATGGAATAAGCCTTCTTCCACATAGTTGCCCTATGTCAACCCGACGAGGCTGACACCACCTGGCACAACTCACTGTATTCTGGGTTTGTTTTTGTTTTCAGTACTGGGGATTGAACTCAGGACCCTGTGCTTGCCAGACAAGCGCTTATTCTACTGAGCTATTTCCCCAGCCCCAACTCACTTTATTCTGTTGGCCATGCTATCTTACAAGCTCTGCTTCTGCAAGTTCAAAAAATATTTGAAAAAAAAAAAAAAACCTGTACTAAACATATTACTATCACTGATAATGAATGAAAAGAAAGGAAAGCAAGATTTTAGATTATCAGGTTTATTCTATTTTGAGAGATTCAATCAGAGAATGGATTTCAGCTTTGTGCCTTAAATTCTTTGTGCTTCTCACGTTTGCAGGAAGCACAAAGCTACCAGTTTAGTAATCTCGTCCTTCTCATCTTGTGGATCACCTTGATGCCCTCCCTTTCTCCTTCTATTTCCATGACCAGCGTTGATGACTATAAGGTAAAACAAAATAATGAAAATGTTAGTTGGTTTAATGAATTAGAAATTTATTGTAGTAGATTACAAGATTTTTGGGGGGGGTGGTAAGTTTCTTTTTAGGATGTTTACATATGGAACAATTTCTTAGAGCTCGTAGGTAATAGCATTAAAAATAAAGAATGAAAGGAAGGAAGAGAAAAATAAAGAACAAAGATAAATGAAAGTTTAACCTATATTATTTCTGGCTAACAGAGAAGGTAGAATGAGATTTGTCGTCCTACTAGGAATATTTTGTTAAAAATCAGAATATCGGTTTTCAGGTATAGGAAAATGGACAGTAGTGGACTGAACTACCTGAGAAAAGAATGCAAGCAATTTTTTTGCTAGAAAAAAGCTAGCTTTCAATTCACCACAGTTTTCTTCCTGGAACTATTTGTGGACTAGGCAGTAAGCAATATACAGAGTTCTTATTAAACTGAAGAGATAGGAATTTGGAGTTCAAGGAGGTTGAAATGGCTGGAATTTGCATGATGGGGTCATATAAAAGAGCTACAGGGAGAAAGAGCCACAGGACTCTGTATTAGGGTTACTTTGAATTTATGGCTATCACTAAGCTAATCACATGTAGTGAAACTCCGTGTAGGCAAAAAACAACAAATTGTTGTAAGATAATAATTCAAAGAAATAGAAAATATTTGATTTGCAATCAGCTACTAGAGGATTTAGCAAGCGATTGACCCAGAAGGTCAAGCAAGGGTACACCTTCATATTCAGGCTAATTTAGCCCTACAATAAAGCTTACTGTAATTGTGTCTCAAAAAAAATTCACAAAGGATTTAAAGTAGAGAAAGCAGGTGGGTTGCCAGGATAAAATGGAACCTCCGGAAAGAAGAATCCAAAATGAATAACCAGCAGTGCGAAATTCACATGGGCCAAGCCAAAAAAAATTACTAGGCATTTAAAGGATAAAGAAAGTACAAACAGAAACTGGATGGGAAATCAATAGAGAGGAGACCCAGAAATGATAAAGATAATATCAAAAATATTAACAGAAATAACACAGAAAAAACCCCCAAATATTAACCTGCTTAAGAGTTCATGGAGACTGGGCGTGGTGGCATGAGCCCATAATCCCAGAGCTTGGGAGGCTGAAAACAGGAGGATTACTACCCGAGTCCCATCTGTGTAGTGAGACCCTGTACTAAATACATAAAAAAAGAGTTCATGGGATGAGGAGAAGCGGAATAAATTTATGAAAACAAATTAGATGGGATTTTCATTGGTAAAGAATACCATGCCTGATGAAAAATTAAATTAATGTTGTTTATAGCTATAGACAGTCTATAAATTGAACCAGAGAGAGAAAAACTTCTGAGAAATTGCACAGATCCTTCAAACCCATCGGTATATATTCTTAAAGTATATATACCAATTAAATTCCCTATAGGAGAGGAGTCAAGTGACAGAAAATGTATTTCAAAATGACTTTCAAAATTTAATAAAGAGGGACTGGGGAGATAGCTTGGTGGCATGAGTGCCTGCCTGGCAAGGGTAAGGTCTCAAGTTCGATCCTGGTATCACATGTTGTGCCAGCCCTGGAACCTGGGCCATGCTGACCCTGAAACAAGGTGTGGTGGCACACACCTGTAATCCCAGGGCTAGGGAGGCTGAGACAGGAGGATCACTATGAGTCCAAACTGCATAGTGAGACTCTATAAAAAAAATAAAAAGATAAAAACTATATGTTCGCAGATTGAAGAAGTTCATGGAATCTCAGTCAGGATACACACCAATAAAATCATTAGATGGTCCATCCCGATCAAATTGCTGAGACTAGTGACAAAAACAAAACAAAACACCTTACACATCTCAGAAATAAACTGACATATTTCAAAGAAATACACATGGCAATGACAAGACAGTTTAAGAAGAATATAAGGTAGGAGATAAAGGAATAATACCCTTAAAATGTTGAAGAATAAGATTGCCAAAGTAAATGCTTAGCTTCAGCAAAACAGATTCCAAAAATAAAGGAGCTAATAAATTTAATGAAAATGAAAATTAAGAGAAATCGTTGCTGCTAGACCCACATTTAAAAGTTGTTAAAGGAAGTCTTCCAGTTAGATGGGCAACAACACCAGACGAAAATTGAGACACACATAAGGTAATGAAGAGCACGAGAAATGGCAAATATAGATGGGTTCAGAGAAGCATCCTTGTAATTGCAGCAACCCAGGAGACTGAGGCAGGAATGTCGCAGGTTTGAACCCAACCTGGGCAACTTTAAGAGACGCTATCTAAAAGCTAAAGGGAAAAAATCAAAAAACAGAACAAAACAAAAAAAGACTCTAGACGTAGCTCATTGTAAAATACATGCTGAGCATACATGAAAATCAGGGTTCAAATCCAAGTACCACAAGCAAAAAAATACAACTATGTGGATAAATGTAAAAGACAATCTCTTCCTCTTTAAAAATAATTTAAAATATACTTTTATTAGTAGCTATTTACTATGTGACAAATGTTGAAATTCAGTGATTAAAGCAATAACATCAAAAAAATTTACGCTGTACAGAATATAGTTTCTATCCAAATGTGGTTAAAGCAGGAAATAGTGAGATGCTCAGAAAATTGTGAAATATCTGAAAATTAAAGACTAAACCATCAGTAATGACGGATCAGAGAAGAAATCACAGTGAAAATTAGAAAATATGTTTAACTGGCTGATAGTGAAAACTAGATATTAAAATTTGTGGGAGGCTGCTAAGGTTGTTTTTAGATAGAAATTTATAGCTTCCATTGACTGTAATTGAGAAGAACGCTAAAAACCTGAGACTTCTATTTTCATTTTGGGAAGCTAGAAAAATCGAGTTTAACATCTCTCCTCATCCTGTGGTTCCTGTTCTCTGGAGAACAGCAGGGGACAGCCAAGATCTGAGTTGCACTGGGGAGAAAGGAGGCTGTGTGTCTCCCCACTTCCGTCTCTGCTCACAGCTAAGGGTCCGTCGTCACGGAAGGACAATGTAGACGAGACTCTGGGAAGAGACTGATGTGAAAATTGTGCTACAGAAGGGATCCTAATTGACTAAGCAAAGCCAACTAAAATCAATTAAATTACAAAACACCAAGGTTTTGAAATTATTATGGAGTGACACACTGAGTGATGTGTTCTATCATTTGGACTGTTTGGTGGAATTTTATTTTTATGTTTATTTATTTACTGCAAGGTCTACAGGGTCTCACTACACACATCAGACTCGGAGTGAGTCTCCTGTTTTCAGTCTCCCAAGTGCTGGGATTATAGGCGCACACCACGACATCCAGTCTCAATCGCCATCTCAGCGAGTCCCAGGGTCAGGGCCGGCACAGCACACCGGGGATTGAACCCTACGTCTGCCTAAGTAGGCACTTTAATCACTGAGCTATTTGGCCAGCCCTTGTTTGGTAGAATTTTAAATGTAAAATTTAGTTTAACTAGTAAAGAAAAGTTACTAACACTGATACATGTTATACGTATTACACAAATTGTTAAATATTTGAATCAGAGCAGGTGCAAAGCTATTCTGAAGTTGTGGGCAATGTTTAAGTATTTATAGTGTTCCACAATAGCTACCTATTCAGAATTTTAAAATGAGAGAACTTTACAAAGAAAAAACTGGGGGGGCCTGGCCCTAGCTCAGGTCTTTAAGTGGCTGGTTCCACAAAGCTGTCAGCCTCAGGTTGCTGGAGTTCAAACCTCACAACTCTCCAGCTGGCCAAAAAAAGTGCCCTGAAGGCATTCGAGGAACAACAACAACAAAAAACAAAACAAAACAAAAACAAAAACAAAAACAAAAACAAAAACGCCGGGGAGATGGCTCAGTGGAATAAGCGCTTCCCTGGCAAGCGCAAGATCCTGAGTTCAATCCCCGGTTCCGAAAAAACCAGGGCTTGAACTCAGGCCCTTGTACT